GGGGTTTCAGATATTTTAATCATAAAATATCAACCATATGATGTTTTATTTATAAAACTTGCCTGAGGGGGCTGGGGATTTAGCTCAGCGGCATAAACACCTGCCTTGCAAGCAGGCGGTCATGAGCTGGATCCCCGGTACCGATAAAAAGGAAAAAGACAAAAAAAAAAAAAAAAAAAAAAAACTTGCCTGATAAATGCAAATAAAATAAAGTTCATGAGAAACCAAAGGAAGGCCTAAAAATTATTTTTAGAAAATTAACTTCCGTTTGTATATAGGTCAGTGTACTCCCCATTCATGCTAGTTCTTTCTTCACGAAAGCAAATTAGATTTTCTTACCTTTATATTCTTTAAAGGTAAGAAATATGTGTCAGGAGTGGGTGACCAATCTAGTGCTTTTTTATTGCAATATCATAAATTAATATTTATAATTTTCTACTTTTACTGCTCATTTCTCTTTTTTGAATTTCTAGGTTTATTTAAAGTTACTAAGCTGTTGTTTCAAATATTTTAATTCAAAATATAATTATTGCATATCTTTATCCATAACAAAATACATCTTCTAGTTAGCTTACAAGCAACAGAAATTTATTTCTCACATTTTGGAGGGTAGAAGTTCAAGATGCAGTGTCCAGGAAGGTCTGCTTTCTGGTTCATTGACAGCAGTCTTCTTGCTACACCCTCCCGTGGCAGAAGGGACACTAGCAGATTGAGTGTCTAATGAGAGTCTACTTCCTAGAAGTCATCTTCTCACTGTAACCTCACAGCAGAACGATGAGGGCTGTGTCTTGTGGACTCCTTTGAAAGACACTGATTTATTTTTACGATTTAATTATCTCCCTAAAACATCACTTCCTAATCTCATTATCTTAGTTGGTAGGATTTCAATGTATGCATTTTAGAGGAACATAATCATTCACACTCTTATAGTCTGTTTGATAAATCTGCAGATTGTAACTTTTTTATATTAGACGTGTGAAAAATTTATAGCTCTCAAGATTTACTGTACATGGGATCAGCAATATTTGGAGCTAGGAAACATGAGACTTCATTAGAAAACATTGAATTAGGATGCCTGAACCTCTGACTTCTGGCAAATGCAGATGAAAATGCTGCAATTTTTGGTGCTAGGAAATATATATCAAGTCGTTTGTTTTTCCAGCCATGTGCTCTCAGAAACAGGATTCGGAGTTAGAGGATGCTATTTTATACTGTTTAGGATTGCTTTCACTTGACTGTGTGGATAGAACACCCTCAAAATCTATGAAAACTACTTTCTCCTGTAGTTGTCCTCATTTCCTACTGACCACAGCAGACCTCTGAACTGGAGTTGTGTCTCCATCTTCTCACGACTTACTTTGTCCTGTATGATCCTGCTACTGTTTTCACGGAAGTAATTATCATGTGGCAGTTTTGGTAATACAATTTAGAGTGCAAAATGGAATTGAATTGGTTAAAACAAGGAAGAATGGAAATCTCTCTGAGTCTATGGGGCTTCTCTTTCACTCTATTTTTGTGTTCACTCAGATATCTAATATTATAGTACAGTTTTTCTCTAATGACTTTGAACAAGAGCCTTGAGTCTTCAGAGGCTCGAGGGTCAAGTAATAGAAATATGAATAAATCTTTAAAAAGATATAAATTATTTTCACTTATTTCATATCAAACAAAGAAATTAATTAAATGCTTTTTAGTGGAAGAATTCTAAATAGTTTCCTACAACTAAGGTACAAGGTTTGTTAAATCGTTACAACTTTCAATCTTTCGAAGCTTTTCTATAACACTTCTAAAATCTCCACAACTTCCTGAAAATGAGAAGGTTCCTCTAAGTAAATAAAAATTAAATTAGACTTATAAGAGAATTTTTAAACTACAAAACACTTAAGTTTTCAATGAAACAAGAGTACTCAGACTCAAAGTCCTATAATTCTTGTAGAAGCAGGTAGTGATTTTGTATTTGATTTTTAAAATTTTTTAATAAGTAAATTTATGGAAACTGAAGTGTAAAGTAACTCCCTTCCAATTTCGCATCCACAAATAAATTCTTGACAATGACCATCACCATATATTGCCTTTTTTGTTATCAAATTAAATATTATTTTAGTGTGATAAAGGAAAACTTACTTTTTTGCCACCAATTTTATTTGTCAAAACAGTATCAGAAAGATCTACAAGATTAACAAATCTAGTCCTGCTGGAAATCTAGCAAGCTAGGTATCTTTATCATATCAAATAGTTGGTAAATATAGAGACCAGAGATGATCCTAGGAAAAAATAAAAAGTAATCAAACTGCATTAGGAAGCACTTGGATCGTATCACCTTCTAACGTCTTTCAAAGTCTTCCCTGCCCTGAAGGGAACCATTGACTTCTACAGGTAAGGCTTTCTCACTTTAGCTACTGATTTGAGTCACGAAGTCCTCTTTAGGTAATTTCTTAGTTCTAGACCTTCTTCTTTTTTCATCAAAGGTACTTTCCCTTAACTACAAAGTCTATGTTTTTCTATGAAATAAGAAGATAAAGAGTAATCCTTTAAAAAAATCCTTTAAAACTTTGAGCCAGAGGTAAATATCTTGCAGAGAAGGGGCCAAAGTCTTCAAGGGTGCTACCCGAACTAACCCTGGGCACCTCTCTGTTCTTGTCAACTGCTGTGCCCCTCTCAAGGCCTTGGCACATAGCATTCCTTTGTCTCAGACCACTGTTTCTGCAGAATTCCACTCTGCTGGCCCCACCATCTTTTCCAAGTCTACCTCGCAGTGACATTAGCCAACCAATTAAATAATTTTTTTTCCTATATGGCAGCCCTATACTCACCACATCATTTAACTCCATAGCACTTATGTCCATGTGACATAGTACACATTTAACTTTTTATAAGTTTTTATTGTTTGTCTACACCTCCTCTGATAAATTCTAGTAAGTGAGCATTGTTTAGTATATTGCTTTTATAGCATTCTCCAGCATCTAATATAGTCAAAAGAATATGAAACAAGGTCAGTAGATATTTATTGAATAAATAATGAAAGTCCTCATTAAACAGGCAGTCAAAAATCCCTCTTCTGTAGGATGGCATAAGTGACCCGTGAGAAAACAGAGAATGCCCGGGAAAGTAAACGAGAAAAACAAGTCACGGTGCTCAGGATTGAGGCTGGTAGAGTACTCGCAGGTAAAGGCAGATGGGTGTGTGCTAGCTGGGGACGGGAGAAGCAATAAATGCAGAAATAGAGGAAGCCAGTCAGCAGAAAGACCTAGAACAGAAGTACCTTGAGGAAGTACAGTCACCAAAAGTAAGGGAAAATATGTCAGGTGCAGAGATAATGTGCCAGTCTCAACTCTACCCAAAAGATTACTCTACTTAGACTTGGTCCTTCTTACTGAAAAGGCATGACTAGAACTGGCATGTTGGTGTTTGTTGGCTTAAATTGTTCTCTCTCCTTGGCAGCGTATGGTATACAGGTGGTTTTGGTTTTTTGTTTGATTGTGAAATAAATTGGTTCCCCTAGTTGATGCACCTCGTATGAAAGTCATTTCAGGTGGTGTGTTGAGTTGATGGGAAAGAGAATGCTTTGATGTCTTTACTCTGTTAAATCCCCCCAAGTCACAGACATAAACCATTTTTATCTATCCTGGAAAACCAGTTGGAATTTAAATTATAACATAATGCAAAATCACAGCTTTAAATTTGAAAGAAATTTAATAAAGCAAACAAGGATGAGGGATGTGAAACTTAAATGCTATAAAGGACAGCTCTGAATACATACAAGGCATTGTCCAATTTAGAGGGGATTTAAATGGAAAGGGAACTAAAATGACATGTGTAGACACTGCAATCTTTGTCCCAGATAGACATTTTCTCATGCACCACAGTTCACACTATGTACTACCCCCCGATAGTACTATGTGCTATTTCCTTGATTATGAAGCCATTTATATTATAGCCATTTTATTATATAAATATTATATTATATATTATATATTATTATATAAATATTATATATTACATAGCCATTTTTATTATATAAGCCATTTTAAATTATAACATAATTTAAAAGTATTATTGATACCTTTCACAAATAATAGACAAAAAAGAAGACAAAGAAGACCTCATGATTTTATACCTTATTTACTCAACGAGGTTTCTGTGAGAATTTGTTTTTGTAATCCCTGATATCATACGCTGTTTCTGTAGAGCTCTAAAGAAATTTTTACCCTCAGAGTTCAATGATGCATCTTGTTTGACACTAATAAAAATTTCTAAAAGCTGCATCAGGCTACATGTGACTGACTTTTACTGATCTTACTGATGCAGGGAATGAAGAGGCTTAAATTAACGTTTTATCCAGCAAAAGATTTGGGGACTTTGGCTTACCATGTATAAAACCTATTCAGCCAACCTTCTTGGCATAGGACTGGAGTATTCCCTATAGCTCTGCTGAATTGACTGGAAGCATGATAAGGCATCTAAATTCTGCAGGTAGAGCCTTTCCTAGCAGCCAATTTGATTTTTGATGGACAACGAGCCCCAGGAAAGTAGATGCCTTTGTATCTGAGAAAAAAAAAATCCCCAGCAAGATAGACAAACCTAATCAGTATGCTCTGGGTACGACAGTATGCAAGCAAGTGATCTATTTTGTTCTGAACTCTGTCCCTGTCAGTGACAGTACATGATTTACCAGACAGATCAAATAAATGTGTGTAACTCCTATTTTGATATTTGAAAACACTGAACTATATTTCCTTATACACATTATGCCACATCCTTAATTTTGATTTTTTGTTTTAAAAGACACCGTTGCCAGATGAAAATGAAAATTAGCATAAGGCGGGATGAGATTGGTTTCTTTGCTTTCTGACATGACAGGGAGAATAGTTTCTACAGAGATATCATGGTGTGGTTGGTGTGTTTCAGAAAATTATTGACCTTAGAAAGACTTTAAGACCTTGACTATGCAGTCAGTGGTCAACTATTTCAATGCTCCATTGCTCTGTTTCCTGTTACAGGTCCATGTGACAGCACTGCAGTCATGAGCAGAATCCTAAAACAGAAAGTTTGAAGAAGTCGATGGCTCCTCCACCTGCCCTTCCGTGCAGGCATCAGATGATGAAGTTTTTAGCTGTGAGAGTGCTGAGCATGTTGATAGTGTCTGTCTGTCCTCATCTAATCATTTTACCAGTGAGTATCTGAAATTGTGTTTTGGGTTGTGCTCTAAATTATACTGTATTGTTGACTATTGGGTACGTTAGCTTTATCTACTAGTTTATAGCTCCTCTCATGTCACATTTGCATATGTCTTTTTAGTTACTTAGACCGGAGCCATATACTTTTGTTCATATTTGTGGTATGATTACATAGGGGGCCAAGTAGAGACCAATAAAAAAGTAAGGAGAGAGCAGCTGAAAATAATTTAACTTGCATCTTCAGCTTTCTGAAGTAGGTTCTTTTTGGAAATATAATCAATACAGTCCTTTCAAGCATCTCCTGTTGGTCAATAAACTGTGGAATATTTGCAGTGCTGAGCACAAAGCATTTACTTCCTAAATGTGAAAATGATTTTTTTGGTACCTTTCTGGAGCTTGAATTTAGAGCCATACACATACCAGACTAACACTCTGCCATTCTGCCACTAACCATTTCTCAGAAAATAATTTTTGTTTTTAAAAGAATGTTGCTGAAATTTCATTGTTGTTTGAACACATGTAAAACTCAGATTCAAGTCCAGGTTTGTGCACTTCAGCAACGGTAGCTTTCTTCACATGGGTTTCCTAAGTAATTCATATGAACCAATTCATTTAGTTTAGTATGATATGCTCTAATTTATAACTGTGAATTGCATTCCTTGTAAAAGACGTATATGTAAGATTTGAAACAGATGAATCTTTTCCTATAACTTAGAATTTTACCCTGATCATTAAAGGAATATTGACCTCAAAATAAATTTTAGAAGTTAATGTGTAATACAAAATAAATAAAATGCATAAAATTTCACAACTCCCTCCACCTCTAATGACATGATGGGAGAAACGTCCCTTTATAGTTGTATTCCATAAGTTAGGTAGAAAATTAATCCACACAAAGGAATATAATTTGAGAGACATTATTTTCACAGTCATTTTAGTTTTCACCTGAAATTTTTCAAGGACAATTTTTCAATTGGGGATTTTAAATTGAACAAAATACTATTTTAAAATTCATACTAAAGTTTGTACAATGTAACTCTGTTCCCCTTAAAATTCAATTTTTATCCTTCCTTTCTTCTTCCTCAAGTATGCAAAATGGCCTTTGAGTGATTCTTTGTCACTATTACAAAAATTCAAAATTCAAAATAAGAAATTTTAATTGTAATTTGTAAGAAATTTTAACCTTAGAATTGTTTATTTTGTTGAGGATCTTAGAAATTTTTAAATGAACTTATAGAATGTCTAAAAAATTGAGGATAAGGTAAAGAAAAACTTAAGGAAAAGAAGAAACCAATAGTTACTTTAAAAATAAGATTCTTCAGTTACATGAAATTGTTGCCCAACAGTGGATTTCAGGGAAGATACGTTTCATTTGAGATTTGATTATAGCCTTTCCACACCCTTTTCTAAGTGACTCTAGCCGTGTGTGTGTGTGTGTGTGTGTGTGTGTGTGTGTGTGTATGTGTGTATGTGAAAGTGATGGGCATCAATGCTGTCTTTTGTATCTCTCACTGTGTCATACTGCTTAGAAGAGTAAAGAACATTTCATGATGTTTTAGAAATTTTTTCTGAGCAAGTAGATTAATTTCAGATGGTTTTTAAAATCTGGAAAAATGAATCCACTGGGTATTGTTAACTTTAAAAAGTGAACAGTATGCATTTAAGTTTAGGATTCTCAGGAGCACTCGAATAATTCCCATTATGTATACATTGGTGTGTTTTCTCTCTCTCTCTCTGTTTTTTTTTTTTTTTTTTTTTGTCTTTTTCCTTTTTATCGGTACCGGGGAGGTCTTGTAAGCCCATCAAGAGCTGGCTAGCATTTCTCAATTGTTTTTCCTTTTAACCACTCTTGACCAAACATCATCAATCTCAGACCCTATTTCTTTCAGTTACCACCTCATCCAGTACTAGAGGACAGTATTTTCCATACCTTTGTGATGTACTTTTTTTCCGACCAAATCTCCAGAATGCTTTCAACCTTCTTGGTGTCTCTGCCTCTCCAACAGTTACAAATTGACTCTCTCCTAGAAAAATCAATTTCAGAACTTCTCTGTGCAAGACATCTATTGATTTCTATAGCTTGTGAGTTCACAAAGTGCCTATAATGTTCATTTAAACACCATCAGGTCTTAACAGTTGTGACTCAAGATGCTTTCCAGATGCAAGTGATGTTTTGGTGCATTAGGAGGGTTAGAAAGATTACAGGTCAGGCGGTTGTTCTGAGCACCTAAACAATTCTATAAAAGAGTAAAAGTTCCAGTGAAGAGGGTTGTTACTTTTAAATAACTATTTTGATATGTGATCATAAGTATTTTGTTTCACTGTAATTGCTATAGTCTATAGAGAAGATGCATATCTAGTATATTTAGAGGAGAAATCTTAGGCAATTACAAAGTGTGATGATATTTTTTCTAGCAGTATTCTTTAATTTGCTTTTTTTTGTGAATCTCAAAGAGTTTTAAGGGAAACATTTGCTAATGCTCCTCTGTAAAAGAAAGGAGGCCTACATTGTGGAGCAACTTGTAACTGAATGTGTCATCGGACCTGAGATTGGGAATAATCAGTGGTGAGGAATAGGAAGAGGTGGAAACTGGGACATAGAAAAGACTTTCTCATGCTGTGGATTCCTCTTAGCTTACCTGTACAAAAAACTAACAAGGTTAATTCATATTGATTAGTAATACATTATTTTGTAAAGTTGGGTAAATGAAGGAAACCCCTGCTTTATATATAACAGAGTAAACCAAAAACAATAGTAATGTATTGTTTTTAATTCAAAGAATGTTAAAACTAGCAGGGCCATTGAATATATCTAGGTTGACTCCCTTCTTTTGCAGATATGGGAACTAAGGCCCAGGGAGATTTGATAAGAATCAAAATAGGAGTTAGTGACAAAGAACTTTAAAGTAGATCCCTTTTTTTTTAACCAGGCTACTGCTGATGGTCTAATTGTGTGCTGGACTAACAAATATGGTAGAAGGTCTCTACCCTCTCAAAAGCAAAACAAAACAAAAAACATGTGCTTGTATCTTTTGTGCCAAATGCAATGGAATGAACCTATTTTTTTGGTATCTTATCTTTTGTTGGCTTTGTGGGATTTTTTTTTTTTTCCCAGTTGTTTCTGGTGAAAATGTTAGCATGTCCTGGCTGCAGTGTCAGTGATGGGTTTATAGACAAACTCAGTGAGCTAAATGTAATAGTTGACAGGGAATTATATTTCAGTGTGAAAGAACATTTCATTTTCCTTTTTATGAGTAAGTGACAGGGCAGACTGTTGAACATTTCCTTGTATGTCACTGACATTGATGGAAATATCTCACAGCAAACATGTTGTTTTACATTTACATGAATGAAATTGGTTAGTCTTGGTGACATAATGCTGCTTGTGATAATGTGGAAATGTTATAGTAAAAAATGGGTGAGATGAAATATGCAGAATGAATCTTTAACAGCTAACAAATGAAGCGTTGTTTCGTTTACTTTCAAAGTAAACACCTTTGTACATTTAACTTTTGCCAGAGGGGTGAATGTGCATCTTGGACCTCCTGAAAAAAAAAACGATAATAACATCTTTCTGTCTCTTGAACTGCAGGGCTTTGCATTACTTGTTCAATAATTCAAGACTTCAGAAACCTACTTACCATGCATTTCAATTGGACTCACTTAGTCGCAGCTTCTGATTGAGTGGAGTAATTATATTCCATTTTGCTGGCTAGGCACAGAGGTGGCTTTTGTGTTTATTTGTTTAGAGCCCTGAAAAAATTTAAATTTGGCTCTGAACGTAAAAGCACAATTGAACTGAATTTAAAATGAAATTTTATGTGTCTATAACAATAAAATATAGAAAAAAACGCAATTGTGGTCTTAATTCTCAGGTCGCTATCATGAAAAACAGCATCAAAGGTTAGTTCTATGGTGTTAATGGTATTGTCTCTCATCTCATTTGAAGGATAAGGCTTGATTAGCATGTGATCTAAAATGTATTGTAGAAAATCTCCAAATTTCCCAAAACTATTGTTTACTTGTGATACTTCTAGGTGGAATTAATACTGTAGCTATACTTCATTAAAAGCTTAAGAATTTAAAATTTCTATTAAATATTAAAGATACTATCATCACACTAGCTATCAAAATATTTTCATGTGACAATATGATTTATTTACAAATAAATCTTATTTTCCCTTTATAAAGATCTTTAAAAAGAATAACATCCTTCCTTTGGGGTCCTTCCGAAAATGTCACAGGTGATAAATAAGTGATTGCCCAACTGCAAGAAAAATGGATCCAAAGAACTTAGAAGATTAAAATTCTACTGAGCATCTTCACAGTACCACAATACTCTGGCTTATTCTGAATATCAGAGGCTGACTAGTTTTATCCTTGTTGTCTGGGATGATGATGACAATGAAATCAGTGCTTGAAGCAAATGTCCTTGTGTTTCTCAAAAGACTTTGACATACATTGTGCAGATTTTCTGATGCTTTTTGACAGCTAGGGAGAAGTATATTTGTATGCGTGTAAATGTGGAAAAGGATTAAATCTGATTGTGTTTAAAAATCAAAAGCCAGTTGTGATTTTGGAATAGGCTACAATATTCAACCTTTTCACTCTTTGAAGTACATGTTTATGTGTTAAAAATATATTTCCTTCTTTTGTGTGAGGAGTTTGAGAATAAACAGAATATTTCAGGGCTTCAGAATTAGTGTACCATATGTTTTACATGCTCAGTTACAATGATCTGGCGTAAGTCTCAGATTTGCTGAATTCCACTGAGAGTTGATCGAATGTTATGAGTGTAATTTTTAAATGTGAAGAAAGAGAAGTGTGATAAATGAAATAGAAGATAAATGTTTGCTTTTTAAAACAAATACCAACACATAAAAACTTAGACATTTTCTTTTAAAAATATCTATTTCAGGCAGGAAAATATATGCAGTGAGTTATAATTGAAATAGAATCTTGGTTTGTTGCATTTGCTTTTCACTTATCTCAGAA